AGAGAACATTTTTTTTTTATTTTTTGAAACACGTGCATATTTTTATTTGGTATTCCCCATATACTGTTTTGGTACATTTTACGCAGTACGTAGTTGCCATTATTTCCTTTAATGTAGGACAAAGGTGGCAAAGGTCCCTTTTTTGGTCCCCCCATCTTTGATATTTGTACTGGGTAAAAAGGTTTCTTTAATATCTATTGCACTTACTGTACCTAGGTATCCTATTTGTTGTTGTGATTGCCATTGTTTAATAAGACTTTTGTGAAGTACTCAAAACGTGTTAAAGTTTTACAACCTAATTTTTCAACATTGTGTGACTAAATTATGTATGAATTGATGCAAGCCATTTTTATCATATTGTAAAAGACACATAGGGCCATTTGCAGCGACATTCCTTAAGAAATAAGCGAAGCCTAAAATGTTAAGCTTGGCGACACGTCAGATAAACATACAACAAATAACTGCTTATTAGTATCGATGCGTATTTCTTACGTGTATACTTTTTAAAATCAAGCCACATCTTCTTTTGCTAAATAGTTGCAACTCTGACACCTAGAAATCTTCACAAGTGGATATTTCCTGAGGCACTGCTGAAAGCTCAAGATCGTGACTCAAAAGAATTAGTGGAGAGGGCCCTTTCGCTACAAACCACACGTAAATTTTACGTACGATACCGCTCTAGGGTTAAAGATTCAATGTTGTTTTGTTTCTCGAGACATATCCCTTCATTTGAGCCCAGATTATTTCAATGGGGTTAGATTTACAGTGATAAAGTGGCAATCGCAATACTTTAACTCCATATTCTTTTGCTATTTCATCTACACTATACTTCTTAAATTTTGGTGAATGTTGTTTATACATAACTGCAATAGCTGTTTTTTTAATAATCCCTCTTCTGTAACTATTTCTTTGGTTATTAGACAATCGGAGAGTTCTTGCTTTTTCCATTTAGTGTTAGATAAGGGTTCCTTTAATCTTAAATGGTAACTGACTTTGTCCATAACTTGGTCGGTAATAAATCTATCATTTGACTGAAATATTTCTCAAAAATATCAGCAATTATTTCTTCATGAATTTGAAACAAATTCTAACAAGCCTCTATCAACAAATCTTTTATCTCCTCCAATATGAGTAATAATTAAATGGAAATTTTAATTTAATTTGGAAAATTTAAACCAATAGACAAACCTTCTATAAATGCCTGACGAGCATTTGTAACCTATTTCTCTTGTCAATTTTTTTTTAAAAAAGTTCTTCATTTATTCAGGTTTTATCCAATTAAAAAATATTTTTGTCGTATTTTCTTAATTTTCTATTTTCCCTTAAATATTGTCACTATTCAACAAATAATTTCATATTTCCCTTTGAGCGCATTTTACAGAACTAACAATTCTGCGTATTACAATCATATGAATCTATAAACAGAAATGTAAATCTAAACACTTTCTGGCGATTTGAAATTTTAATCCTTTCTAAGAAAGTTGAGGGCTACTAAAATTGATCTTGAATTCATAATATTTTCTATCTGTAGAGACTACATACTTGCCATATTTTTGTTAAATAAAATGACTCGAAAAATAAAGGCAAGAATTGAAATAAATTGGTATTTTTAAAAATTTAAGAAAACCAAAGATTATTTTGGAATAAATATTGCTAAACATTTTATTTTAGAAATTCTCTTTCAATGATTTATGATTTATCTTCTGGGTCATAAAAATTTTGCTATCATTCATTTTCAAATAAACTATAGAGAAAAAAATTATAATTCAAAATCGTAATTTAAAGTGACTCATGTGATAACTGTCTTTTCAAAGATGAGTTAAAAAAGAAACAGAGAAGTCCACAATTTTAGATGAGCTTTACAAGATTCCTAGTAACGAACCTTTTACATTATCAGCAAGCAATTATAATTTTTTTCTAATGGTTGATGTCATGATGAGACTGCGAAAACTGAACTGAAAAACACTTAAAATTTGTTAAAGATTTAGCCAGTGAGTTTTGTAACCTCATTAGCAGGACACTGAACGGAGGGCTTAAAAGGGTACATTTTGGATTTTATAACTATATCACCAAAAACGGGAGAAAGATTACGCATGAAATCACAGATGATGTTCCACTACCTGTTTAAGAAAATAAGTTTTGGGGCTCTACTAAACATAAAATTCTGCTTCAATCGTTTCTTTGCAAATTTATTTTTAAAAACTGTTCTCAACTCTGGCTTGGGGTTCAACTAATCTGAAGCTTTGCCAATATCGAATCTTTTCAGTCAACATCACCCTGTTTCGAATCTTTAATTGTATTTAAAAAAGATATACAGATTCAGCTTAATTTTTTCTTGGGTATTACCAATTAACAACAGTAACTGCGATAGCTTTATAAAAAGCGAGCCCGCCTTAAATCCTACTCTAGGTGATGCTGCGCACTCCAGAGTGATGGAGTAAGTAGGCGTAAACGCAGTGCGCATATGGTTTTACTACTTTTACTCTTAGAATTTCATGTTAGTTGTCATTGTGACATATTAATACTTAAAACCTAATCGTACTTATCAGTAACAACCGTATAAGTTTCTTCCATGTTAATGGTATGCACGGGAACCAAATAAAAAGCATTTTTACTTAAGAATTAGTCACAGTTATCTTATTATCGATTTAAATCACATTATGCGCATGCCCGATCCACACTCCACTTCACGATCTCCAAACGGTCAAAAAGGAACTTTTATTTTAACTCCTTTTATTCCCGAACGCCTAAGGTACTTTAGAAGTGAATATAGTTAAAAGAGTGCGTAGCCCGAACTCATCTTCTGTTTGCGTGTCGTAGTTGATGGATGAGATCGGTCGGCATCATGGGATTGTCAAAGCCTTCTTCTGCTCTCTCTTTCTCTCTTATACTTGTTTCATATGAATATTCTTTTTCTATTGCTACTTGTAGTTTTGCACTATACCCAAGAAAAAATTAAGACGAATATAAAGAAATTACAATTGGTTTGACAAAAATTGTAAAAATGAGATGGGAAAAATAAAGCAAAAAGTCATGAATGAGAAAGAAATAGAAGCAGCAAAATCTGCCTATTTAAAATTGCGGAATGCAGAAAAAAAGCAAAAATCGAAAGTGAAGAATATAAATTTTAACATATGAGTACCAAATGAAGCTCTCGGGTGAAAATAATAATAATCCACATTCATTTAGTTTTGAGATAAGTCTACTTAAAAGTTTTAATCAAATCCTGAAATCTGGGCTTAAGAAATATCTGTTTAATTTCTTTTTGTACAAACAAACTTATTGTTTAGTTGAAATATATACCAAGAAATGAAGAATTATACCTACAGTTTTCAAAAAAAAAAAATCAAAACCCTCAAAAATTGTGACTTGTTACTTTTATTTGGCTAAAATATTTAGATATACTTTTATTTTAAAACAAATGTGTTATTTTTTATTAAAAAAACGGTACAAGTAGGTATAAGTTTTAAAATGTTTCGGGGCTTTCATCTTCACCGTCGACGTTCTCGATTGTTCCATCACATGCATCACTGGCAATTGCACCTTCTTCTCCAATACCAACATAAAGATCGTGATAGGCTAATGGAATATATGGTAGAAGAACCGTTCGATATTGTAGTTTCTTTTCGTTTACTTGGACTGGACCCTGGTATTTATTTTCTAAGGTATTAAGATCTACTACTTGCCGAATTTTTTGTCCTCTTTTACACACACTTACAGGCTTAAACTCTGCAAAACCTAAAGCAGCGCCCTTGTGCAAAGTTCACATTTTCTTTTTCATCTGTTAAGTTTTGTCTATTTAACCATTTACTTATTTGATCAAAAGAAAAAATCATTTTGCTACATTTCATACACGATAAACGGATTCTTTGCCCTGGAATCTTTGACTGCTTGAACCCAACAGCCAGGTGAGTAAACCTGCCCGACATACTTTTTGCGTTTTTCTATAACTACAAAATCGCGATCTTACGACAGATTTTTGTGCCCAGCAACAATAAAGCGATGTTCTATAGACCTGTATACGTTATTCCTAACTGAATAAAGTCATAGCAACATTATTGTCCAATTTTTGTTTTGGCCTCTACAGTTGGCCGTAAAAACTATTAAATACTTGTTAGGCTTTGGGGGTTGTCTTTAAGGTATTTTAAAACACAACTAGCGATTTCATCACTTCCCCTCTTGGCAATATTCTCTGTCCACATATAGATGTAATATTTACCAGTGTTACCGTGGTGGATTCCTAAATTATACATCCAGGCTTTGCGTAGATAAAAAGCTGTCCCAACCGTAAGTTGAGGTGTCGGTAGTGCTTGTTGAAGATCAAAAGATATAACATCCAACAAGTCGCCATCTTTTTTATATCGCTGTATTTCAATTTTTAGGTTAGTCTGCATTGTCTCAGCTCGCCTTTGATGCAACTCCAACAGTGTTTTTATTTCCTGTATTTTCTCTGTGAAATGTGGTATTCGTCACATGTTGCACACGTATTGCTTCTAGGCAGCTGTATCCCAATATTATACTCATAACAGAATATTCGGTGGTATCTGTCTTCCTTTACAGTAGTAATGTTGCTTTTACTGCACCATGCAATGTAATATTTCTTATATAGGGAAGATATTAAAATATCGTGGTCAATATAACTTCGATGTGGATTTTTTTTTTTCAGCTGTAATGGCAGCAATATTTTGAATTAGACTGAATATGGTCGTGAACTGAATGTACCATTTCCACGGGTAACTTTCTGTTGCTATGTCTACCACGACCATCGGATTTTGGAGTATTTAGCCCATCTCGTATCTGCCTTCAAACATTAAAAACCATTCTGCTATTGACCTGTAAGCCATGTATTGATAAAAATTCTTTTTTGCACACTTTTTGATCTCTGCCTTGTAATTTGACAAAGTACTTAAATGTTGTAGATCTAGATGACTCCTGCCGTTTTGTTTTTTTTTTTTTAGGATATGATCACTTTTTTCAATACTCCTAATAATGCCAAAAAGCTATGCATTTTGCTTTTCATAGGTTTTTAGGTCCCAAAATGAATTAAATATATTTCTTTCTTCTCCTTCCAGCGCCTCTCTGCATTTTTTCATACAAGCACACGGTGGGCCTAAAGTTTTGGGATCCCACTCCACACCCTTAGGAGTGGTATATCCAAAGCCTAAATTTCTTCTTTGCTGAACTTTGACCTTCTTTCTGCACATAAAGTTGGTTTGTCTTTTTCTTGACGGTTTCTTTTTCAATGGTGTTGGTACGTGATCTCTACTAAAACCCTCATCCTGCAACAGAAAAAATAAGTTGAAAATTCAATAAAAATGTTTTAAGAAAAAACAGTAAAAAGCCACAAAACATGTGATTAATGTTTGTTTATTTGTAGAAAACCTAAGGAAAAAATATTGTGTTTATATGCGCGTCCCAAAAAAATGTTTTATTATACAGCGGACAACAAAAACATAAACTTTAAAAACTCAAAAAAATTTTGAAAAAAAATAGGTTTAAATGGGAATAAGCCACATAAAATTGTACATATCTCTATTTCCAAAGTACTGCTGCTTTCATCACTTTCACTTGAATTAAAATAATCCTTGTCCTCCTCACTGTCGTGCATTTCACTTTGTGAATCACTATCACTGCTATTTTTTTATAATCGAACAATTTCTATTAACTGTTGCTTTGTTTTCTTTCGCCATGTTGAAATTATGCGGCTTGTTGTAAAATATGCAGATGTTTTGGAACCTATATTTAAAGAAAATGTGGCTTATTACTATTTTTCCCCGAGCGCTTCAAATAATCTTTTCTGAGAATTTATATTTTGATAGATTTTCACTTATTTTTAATTGCTATATGACGTAGTTTTTGAAACTACAGTATAAGATTCAAGACACGGCCTATTTAATATGAAAATGAACTTTTTTAACCTAGTAGAATGTCAAGGAATAAAAATAATATGCTTTCTGGAATCACTAACATTGTATGCATCATTTCTGAATCTTATTTTATTAAAAAACTAGGAAGTAGGGAGGACACAAGTGTGTATATAGAAAACGTCATTTATGAACAGATAGCCAAGAAAATTCGAATCGTTTAGTTAACGTTGTCAATTTTTTTTTAGTTATTTAATAATCTGATACAAATATTTTAAATCCGAAAAATATTGGGTCATTTACCGCAATAATGCATAAGAAAAAATAAGAGTAGTTCGCATAACGTACGTTGAGATTTATTTATTGGCATACCTACTATATCATTTTTATGTTACTCATACATTTTTTTTATAACCTGGTTTACGTATTTTACAAACCGTATGTCCGCATCTAAATATAAATATAAGTTTTTTTTTTATATTTCTGAAGTAGATAAAGTTTCATTATTTACTGTAATCTTAAATTGATTCTTATGTTGAAGTTAAGAGTGCATCAGCCCAAATCTTTTGTGATTCAGAGGAATTTGCATCCTTAGATATTTTAAAAAGTGCCTATAAATCGCTAGTTATATTATTAATGTCATTGTGGATATATTTAGAATAGATAGTTTATGAAAGTTTATGGAAAAGACAACCGATTCTGTAATTTAATTCGTAGGAAGTAGCCGATGAAAATCCTAATAGAATCTGTTGTAATGTGCAGCATTTGTTTATATCGAAAACTACTTTGACCGCGCACATCTCTGAGCAAGAAAAAACTACTCGTGTAAAGCCATACCTGCTCTCCATAATTATGCAATAACCCCACAAAAACAATAAAAATAATTTGCTTGTCTATACATTAGCAAATTTTTCATAACTGATAAATAATATGCACAACAACAAATCCCTACTAAAATAAATCCTTTTATCAACCCATATTTATTAATAGAAACATCAAATAAATATTTTTAGGTGTCTACAGTTATTTTTAACTAAACATTTCTAGACTTTAAGTCTGCACGTTTTCTATTTACTCATAAACTTGTTAAATTATTTGGTCTTTGAGAGTAGAATTCAACTTATCTTCTAACACGTGCTTAGAAACTCAGTGGTTATCAATATTTAATAAACAGTTTATATTAATCCAATGAATGTTAGAATGTTGCTGATTAACTAGGTTTATATAATTGACGTAATATAAATGATTAATTATAAAATTCTATTGGTTTAATATTTACCTACAAATCTCAGAAACTTATTTCAATGTATAAAAAAGTAAACAAAATATAATTAATTATAATTAATAGTGTATAAAAACTATTATGTCATAATGAACTTGAAATTACCATTGACTAAACGATTTAAAAATAACTAATAAACTGCTTTTGTGGTTAATTTTTATCCAGTATCTTTAGATTTGGACTAGGTCAAAGTTTAATTGTGTTATGTAAATATAAATAAAAAATTACAACAAATTTTTAAACTGCTGAAATTTCAAAATCAAATATTTCTTATTAATGATGGCATTGCATTTCGAATTATTACTGTAACAATAATTGTATTATTTTCAAATCCTTTCATCTAGATATCAAAGTTCTCATTGCAGTATTTTTTCCACATGTCAGTGATCCAATTTATGGATTAGAACTTAACATCAAAAAAGGAGGAGGTTCTCAATTGGTCCGAATATTTTTTTAAGTATGTTCAGCGATAATTCTTTACAACAGTGTCCGATTTCTATGACTCTTTTGTTAGAAATAGGTTAACTCAGTGGTAATCCCACATAAATTTGGTCAAGATCTAATAATGCGGTCCATGAGAAAATCATTAAACTCTTCATTTTTCATGTATTTTCAGTGATAATTCTTTACCGCTTTGTCCGATTTCTATGATTCTTTTTTTGTTAGAAAGGAGATATCGCAGGGGTAGTTCGTATACAATTGATCAGGATCTGATGATCTATGATAAAATCAAACATTTCAATTTTTAAAGGCATCTGCACGATTTTAAGTCGGTTTTTTAAAATTATCAAGGCTTCAAACTACGTGTTTTATACTACTACCAATATTTAAATTTTTATTATATGTCATTGACTTCTCGTTAGTGTCTATTTATAATGAACAATTTGGTGATAATAGATTGATTTCCATTGCCACGGTTATACAGGGTGTAACAAAAAGGCAGGTCATAAATCGTCCCCTTAAACCCAGAAGGTCGTATGTAACACTTTTTGTAAAAATAATATTTTTACACCTATTGGCTAATAACAATGAGTACTGTTAACTGGATAAAGGTTGTATATGAAAGAACATTCTAACACCATTAAAATTAAAAAAAAAATAAGAGCCGTATGTGCGTTTGAAAACAATTACGAATCAGGAAAAAATCTCATGTGACAAATACATTCGTATGTCTTTCTGATTTTCTATGTGGATGCAATACAAACTAACTTTTTAGAATGGCATAAAGTGTTATGTGAATTTTTTTCACTTGCGTCGCTTTATTAATAAATTTTCTTTGACCTTTTATTAATAAAAGGTCTTATGTAGGCCAAATAACACATAAGACTCTTTGTTAACAAAAAATAGAAAGATACATTACTTTCAACCAATTTAACAGAAGGTCGCATGTACGCAAAGAAGTACATGCGATTCTTTGTTAATAAAAAAGTAGAAGATATATTTTCCTTAATTGATTAGTGACATAAGGTCGGATGTGCAAAAATAAATACATGCAACTTTTAGCTAATAATGCCATTTGCAGTTAACATGAACCAAGTCATAACATAAAAGTCGGTTGTACAGTCTATACATCTGACTGTTTGCCACTATGCACTCTGTCATTCTATAGTTGCTAGTTATTGTGTATATAATAATTCAAAATATTGGCCAGAAAAACTGAAAAAAACAAAAATAATGTAACACAGTAAATTATGACAATCAAATTTTGGGAGATGAAGTTTTTAGATGTGAGTCTGAGATCTATCTGCTAAGAAAAACATCTCATCTGGTGATATCATCGATATTAAAAGCTGTCTAATAGTGACAACAGATGGTATTATTTTAAATGATAATGTCGAAAAATTTGTTAATGGCTTAGCTAATGTACAATACACAGATCAGAAAGATGCTGATGCCTAACATTACTTTGAGAATTATACAAAGATTTTAAATGATATGCTGATGTGTGACGATAAAAAACACGATCTAAATATTCTTTTAAATACAGAAAAAAAGTAGAACTAATTACAGATCAAGAATTAGGAAAGAAAGATTATTTAAATATTATAAGATACGAACCAGTTGCTGATGAAAGTAATGAAACGAGCAGCATAACATCGCTGAGTCTACTTATGAAATCAACGGTAATAATGAAGAAAAATTAATGGAGAAAGAAGAAGAAGAATGGATTAACAACAATAAAGGACAACCATTTTATACAAACCAGGATCAACAAAGTGAAGATGATGTAAATAATATCGCATACACACCAACTGCTAATGAAATGAATGAGTTTGAGGAAAAGCGAAACAGTGAATGTATAGTCAATAATAGTAATAATAAGGAACAACCAATGGAAAAAGAAGAAAGCAGTAAAAATAAAGAAATACAAACAAAAGGAAGTGAAATAGTAATTCTGGTCAATGGAAAAAATCAATAGCGAAAAGGGAAAAGAATCTTGAAAACGAATATCAGAATAAATCAGGAAAATTGGCTCCAATTTCATTTCAGAGAGGATAAATAATGGGTTCAATAATGTTTCGAACATATCTATCAGCTGTCATAGTGTCTGGAATGAGAATAAGCTGCGTACGACGACCATGCATTATGCCTTCCCAAAACAATACTGATCCTCCTTGGTATGGAACGACTTCTCTGGCAAAAGGATAGTCTTTCTGGTCGCCCTGGCCCTCTCCAAACTCTATGTCGCTGACTATCACTAATTAAACCATCTGGTTTCATCCGAAAAAATAACATTTCGCCACTGAGCTAAAAGCCAGTCTCTGTGTTCCTGTGCCCTCTGTATCTGGAAAGTAACCTGGGTACTATTAATGGTCTCCTAGATCGTAAAATGGCTCCAGCAAGTCTCCGCCCTATTGTGGTACTGGGAATGAATCGACCATACGTTCTTCTATAAGGAGTTCTGACATCTGAGACTATTACAGTTCGATTACGATGTACATAATCTGCTACATACCGATCTTTTCTTGGATAAATTACCCTAGGACGCCCAGTTCCACGTCTCCAGTCAACGCTGTTAGTTTCCTGGTACAAGCGCACTATTCGGATCACTGAAGCGCGGGGAATCCCTAATCTATCAGCGATTCGATGATTCGGCAGACCCTCATCATGCAAAGCCACTATTCTTGCTCTA